TTTTTTTTTTTTTTTTTTTTTTTTTTTTTTTTTTTTGGTTTGACGATGGTTTGGAAGGTACGTGGGATTTTTTTTCTATTTTTATACAATGGCACGGGGGACGAATCATTTTCTTTCCGTAAATTTATTTGCGAAAAGTTTGTTACGTGTTACCAGCAAATGCAGTTTAGTGGATACCCGGTCGAGTTTTCATATAATTGAAACTCGATGAATTATGCGAGATCGATATGAGATATCGCGTGTGTGAAATCTTCAGATTACATGGTTTGACTGATTTCTAGGGAAATTAAGAAAGCTGAGAAATTTCGATGATAACTTTAGTTTAATTATATGGTAACTAACTTTCGATCACGTTTCACCGTTTCCAAACGCAATTTTACGAGCAAAAATTAACTTTTCCAATCAAGAACAATCTTTTAGCTTCAACTTATAAACTAAAAGCATGCTTGTAAGTAAGCTTCTGCACTCTTTTTTTTCGCAATCACGATCTTTTCAATGACTTTATTCTTGGAGGAAACCACTTTTCCAATTTCGCTCTTCTAATTTTAGTCTTTCCAACGGGGAAACTTAATTTTAACAGAGTTACTTTATAACACCATTTGGTAGCCATCTTCTAAAATTTATGAAACATTCCTATCTTGGTAATAGTTCGTGGAAATTACTTAATTTTATCATTTATTTCCATTTCTCCTATTATATGCTAATAATCCACATTTTTAACAATTTACGATTGATCGAATATGATCATTTGATCGAACTACTTCACGATCAGATATCAAAATCCAAACGAAAACAAGGAATTTTTATTATAATTTAGATCAATAATTATCTTTTTTCGAATGCGTTTGGACACGAATTTGTTACGTGATACAATTCAATCTGAATCTTAAATTTAGCTTTCGTTAAATTAAACAAAAAAAAGGGGGATCGTGGAATTTTAATGATTTCGTTTCATTTTTCTCGTCATAAATAAATAACAAAGATCGTATAAAATAAAGGATCACTATTTTCTTTCTATTATTGATAAATACTTTAAAAATTAAGTCATTTTATATAAAAGAAAATTCCATTCGTGAAGGATTATGAAAATTAGGAATATCGTCCTATTTTCATTCTATTAAGAGATATAAGTAATCAGTTTAAAAACTGAACTGGAAAATAAATAAAATGATCAAACGAGAATTGGATTCGAGAAAACTTTCGAGAAGATTTCATTGACATTTTCACAGAAAATTTTTACACGACAATAGGTGATGCTACTAGGCGACAGCGGAGTCGGGAAAACCTGTCTTCTGACGCGGTTCAGAGACGGAAGATTCCTGTCTGGCAACTATATAACCACCGTCGGCATTGATTTTAGGGTGAGAAACTCTAAATCTTCATTCAGGAACATCGAAAACGAAAACGAAGCGATATCGAATCGATTATCGAGATCGGGTATTAATCACGAGAAAGCCAAGTGACTGTTGCGAAAATAGTTTGAAAAATAGAGAAAATTATTTATTTATTTATTGGAGTGTTATGGATTGTTTCTATGTATTTTCAGAACAAAGTGGTCGTCGTTGACGATACGTCTATCAAGCTTCAAATATGGGACACGGCCGGTCAAGAGAGATTTCGAAGCGTGACGCATGCCTATTACAGAGATGCTCATGGTAATTATACTATGTTGATACAAATTTGTGCATGGTGTTGCCGAACAATTGACAAAATTATCGATTGTTTACGAGAAGTGGAAGTAATTTTGAATTGTTTATAATTCAAATTGTTATAGACTAAGTTATAGATAAAAAGAAAACGTGTATAAATATATTTACAATTAAAATATATTCATGATTTTACTCAAATTTAATACGACAAACTATATCACGTATATTATATCAATTATAAAATATTTCATTAAGAAAGTAATTTTCAAATGGTCGTTCAAATTTTTCAAATTTATTTACAAAAAATATCTATTTTATAATTATGATCGTTTTATAAATTTAATACATCCTATTAAATGTTCGATTTTTTTTTTAATTTGCAAAATATTGAAATTGACAGAAAAGACAAATTGCAAAATATTTTAATTGCATTACCGTTTTTATCTAATCTCTATATTTGCATAACGCGCTAATTAGAATCGCTAATTAGAATCGCTAATTAGAAACGCTAATTAGAATCGGTGTAATAATTAGATTAGATTAGTCATGTATAAATTTAAATACGTATTTCTTTTATCTTTCGACATCTATCTAATTGCTACCAGTTAGATATATATAGAGAAATAATTAATGATATGAATAGCGTGGATTAAAAGGAATTTTTCAAAATAATTTCCAGGATAGACAAGAGTTCGTTTCGCCTATACAATCAGTTTTCCATTTACAAACAGCTTTGCATCTAATAATCACGAGACAAGGCGATAGCGAAATTGCTAGTTGGACAACTTGTCTGGAGAAGCAGGAATAGAGGACAATAACATGACAATATTCATTGCGAGGCATAAATTAGCAGATTCTCCGTCGAGTCTATGATTTCATTACAATAATAATACCTATGTCATATATGTCTGTGAAACTAATTTTAACCACACCATACTAATCAAATCTGATCATACATACTTGTGAATTTGTACAGTTTATCATAAATTTGTAATACAAGATAATTTTAGTTTAATTTCACAAGTTTATTTATTATATGCGACATTTCTATTATATAAATCATGTATTGATATCGTTACAAAAAAATGGCGAACGAAATAAGCCAATTTATTATTACCAATTATATCAAGTTTTTGCTGATCGACCAATGAAAAAGAATGGTTATCATGTAAAAAATTTACGACGTTTTCGCATAATTGATATGCGAAA